GGGGGGGGGGGGGGGGGGGGGGGGGGGGGGGGGGGGGGGGGGGGGGTTGTTAGGTCACTGGCCCGGGTTCTGGTTGGTCCTCGGGGCTATGTGCCAGTCTGTGGCCTGGGTCCCTAGTGATGCGGCTGCCTCCTGCTCCTGGATGGATGTACTGGAGCCTCCCTCCCCAGGTGGATCTCAGAGAGTGGGAGTGCCTATTGGGGTCAGTGGGGGAGCTGGCCCCCTGGAAGGGCATTGCCACTTCAGTTGTTCCTCCCCATCCTGACGTCTTCCTCCGCCCACTCCATCACACCACCACTCAAGCAGGGCCTTGGGGTTCAGGTGAACTACTGAGCTGTGGGGAGGATCCTCCATCTCCGTAGTTCGTGGAGACCTGGGCCCCAATTTTATTAAACAACCTAGACACTCACATATAACATTCTCACAACACATGCATATATATGGTCTGGAGTGTGCACACGGTGGCATATAGGGGCCTGGGATGTGTAATTATTCTCACCCCTGGAACCTGTGCCCACTCTCATATGTAGCATGTAGACATTTAGGGTTCTGGGCAAGGGTTGGGGAGGTGAACGGGCACTGCCTGCTCTCTGGGGAGGGGGTGGGTCTGTGCCAGTCACCGCCTCATCCCCCCATTTTAAACGCACTATATAACAGCATGCATCAACACCTTATTTGAGTGGGAGGAGGGAGGATTTGGGGTTTTCTATTTTTCTTAAACCCTCATTCTCCGTTTGACATTTGGGGTCGGGGGCAGGGGGGGTAGGCTGCCTGGTTGGGGTCTGGGCTGTGGGTGGGTGTTGGGTCTTGGGGGGCGATTGGGGGTGGGGCCGGTGCTCTGGTTCTCCCTGGGTTGTTTGTATCTTTTGATCAGTGTTCCAGGTTGCAATGGCCGGTCCTTTGGCTGGGGTGGCTGCCGGGTTCTGGCTGTGGGTCGGCTGTGGTTGTGCATGTGTAATCTTTGGTTTTGCTTGGCGGCGGTCGGGGGTGTGGCTTTACTTTGACGGGGTGCTGGCTGGTCGGCCTGATGTGACATTCGCGGTGGGGGTGCTGTGTGTGTGTGTGGGGGGGCGGGGGGGGGGGTTGCATGGGTGGCGTGCCGGGGCCTCTCCAGGCCTGTGGTGTGGAGCTGTAGGGATGCATTGGTGCACTGGGCCGGCCTTCCTTTGCTGCTGCTCCCTGCTGCACTGGCCCCCGGCCTGGGGTCGGCTTGCGGTCACTGTCGGGTTGGTGGGGCACATGGACAGCCCGACAGAGGCTCTGTCAGGCTGTCTCTGTGTGCCTGTTTATGTCTCAGGTTGCGTTTTAGGTGGTCTCCCGGGGTTTCTGCATTGCGGTTGCTGGGGATCGCCCGGGGCTTCCCTTTGCTTCACTCTCTGGGGGGTGCGGGTGTCCCTGTTGGGGGACTCCCGGAGTTCCGGACTTGGGGGCCACTGTGTGTCTATGGTTCCGGTCTTCCCTGTATTGCCATCGTGACCTGTGGGGATGGGTCCGTGGGTCCCCACATCCACTATTGAACATTTTTATGGAGAAACCTTATAGTGACAAGCATGCTCACACAGGTGTTTAGATTCAGGTGTTTATCATATACACACTCAGTTGGTTTGTGGTGGCCACTAAATACATCTTTTATTAACATCTAACTGGGTCATAATTTCATTATAATCCCGTCTCTGAGCAGATCAAAACCATAGGACCAGTCTAGATAAGAAATATCCAACTGTATGCAACAAAGGATTTACTGGTTATAACAAAGATTCGCTCAAGAAAACTCCCAGTATAAATTATAAAACCAGTATTACTTCTGCTCATTCTAAATTTGCTGCCCTGAGCCCCTTGGAGATTGTGGGCCCCTGGGCACTTACCCAGTTGCCCATATGGTTTATCCGGCCTTAGGTTGTCAGCCGTGCACGTCCACTGAGTGCAGCGGCTGAATGAATGTCCATTTGGGCGATGAATAGCTGCCTGGCAGGACAGTCCCATCTGAAGCTTAACTGAACTTTTTACCTCTTTCAAGGCCGGTCAGCTCACAGTGAAATGGCCGCATGCAGCTGGTGAAAGTATGGTAGGACATCCAACATTTTTCAGTCAGGTCATCTGGACAGTTTCTTTTTTTGTGCTGAATAGCACTCAGCACAAAAACAGAAACTGTCCAGATGACCTGACTGAAAAATGTTGGATTTTATACCTGGATTATTGAGCATGGACTTAGTTTTTATGGCTGGACATGTTATCATATAACTGGATCGCGGCTGATCCTGACCCAATTAAAAGCCCAACATCGACCCGGCCCGCCCATCCAGCACATTAACATGGCCCAGCCCATCCCGAGTTTGGTTCAGGTGGGACTGGGCTTAAAGCGCGGGTTAGAAATGACAGCTCTAATCCGTACCCTGTAGTTGTCAACGCTATGATGCTACCAGGAATCTGCAAGGCCCTCCTTCACCTACCACTTCGGCATCCAGTGTCCTACCTTGATGGACCTCCTTGCATGTGGTGGGTCCTTGTGGAGGAGGCTTTCTGTTCTTTCTTCAGGCTTGGCCCAGCTGAGTCCCAAGAGCCAAGGCTCGACCACCACTTGCTGACCGATGAGCTTTCCCCACTGGTCAGGCTCCAGAGAGGTGCCCTGGTTTCCCTTTAAGCGTGCGAGGTTTGTGATGCATGTGTTATTTATCCATCAAGGATTTGAATTGCTCTTAAACTGACCCTGGGGACTATCCCTTTTTATAGCCTTGCTGTATGCAGTGTGGATTTAAGTTTTGGCAGCATGGTGGGTCAGTTGGTAGAGCTGCCACCTCTCAGCAAGCAGGTCGCCCTGGTTCAAAGCCGGCTGGGGACCTTTCTGGGTGGAGTTTGCATGTTCTCTCTGTGCTGCGTGGGTTTTCTCCAGGTACTCCAGTTTCCTCCCACAGACCAAAAACATGCATGTTAGGCTGATTGGTAACTATAAATTGTCCCTAGGTGTGAGTGAGAGAGTGAATTGTTGTTTGTCTC